GAAGACTGAATTGGAGGAGAGGAGATGATTTAAAAAATAATCCTTCCCAAAAGTTTGAATGAGCCTGGAAGGAGAAAGAACAATACCTAACAAGAACACAGAAATGTTTAGTTTGAGGATGTCTTTAATGATGGAAAAGATTAAGCCTGTAAAGAAGGAGAGATTGAATATGGGAAAAGAGAGATAAGTAAGGGATGATATCCAGAGAAGAGGGGAAAGGGTACAGAGGATGGCACCTAGGACACAGGCAGTAGCCTCAGCCTTCAGCAGCAAGAAAGGTACTTCATTCTCTGGGTCATGAGAGAGGAAGGGAAGGTGGAATGAGATAAGTTAGTGAGAGTAATATGGAGACTTCAAATTTCTCCAAAAAACATGCAGTAGGTAAGCAGTTTAGATTTTTTTAAAGGAAAAGGAAAAATGGGAGTCAAGAAATCACACCCTGAAAGCCTGTGTATGATATGCTGTAGCAAGGGGACTGGAGGCAGGAGACCTGGGTGGAGGCTCATGTGTTGTGTAGCAGGTAGACTGCAGCACTGTGCCAGACTCCTACTGGGTCATATATGCTAGTACATTTTGAAGTTCCCTAAGCGATAAGAGTGGTTCACAGTGCCTGGGCTATATAAATGATGTGGTTCATACCAACACCTGCTTTCCTTCTAGAAGTTTGGAATTTTTATGAGCCACATAATGGGTGCCCAAGTGCCCATCCTCCAATTAAATCCATTGGCACTGGGTCTCTGATGGAATCTCCCAGGTGGAAAGATCACAGCCATGTTAATGCATTTTCATGGATGGAAGAACAGTGCACTCTGTATGACCCCTCATGGGAGGGAGAATGAGGAAGCCTGAACATAGCTTTCTCTACACTCTGTATGTGGATTCTTCCAGATCTGCCTGTCTTTCCCTCTTATGATTAGATGTGACCATATTGCATTACTAGAATAAATAGTATCCATGAATATAGCTATATGATGGGTTCCTTGAGTGCTTCTAACATGTCTCTGGCCACGGGGTTCTTGGGAACCCAATACATGGTTTGTATCTACCTCCCATTTTTCTGTCTCCAAGGGCAATCCAGCTTCCATCCATATCTACCACTGAAATAGTGTTTTCCATAGACAGCCTGCCAAACAACATCAGAGGAGTTGTAAGAGTCAGTATTGCAGCTCTACCGTGTACATCAGAATGGCTCACCATTCTTTTTTGGAGCAGGGGCTTCCATGGGCGATTCCAAATATGTTTGGCTTGTTTGCATGTCCCCTCCAGAATTCATGTTGGATCTTAATCTCTAAGTCCATATTGTTATTGGAAGGTGGGGCCTGTGGGAATAATTGAGATTATATAACGTCATCAGGGTGAGGCCCCAAGATGGGACTGAAGCTTTATAAGAGGAAAAGAGTTGAGCTGATGCAAACTTGCTCTGTCTTGCCATATTATAATGTAGAAAGGAGACCTTCCCCCAGAGGCTAGCAGGTCTGGCTCAAGAACTCTAAGCTAAATAAACCTCTATTCTTTATGAATTACCTTGCCTCAGGCATTTTGTAGTAGCAACACAAAATGGTTACTTCAGAAAATCAGATGTTCTCTATTGAATATCAGGCTCCTTGCCTAGACTCTCTAAAGTATAGATTCCATAACCCCAAGGAATGTTGGATAATGGGTTCCAAGTCTAGAACAGGAGTCAGCAATCTAAGGCCAAATTCAGCCCTGTCACGAGCCGGCGACGCAGAGCACTGTCCAGCAGTGCCTCAAACCTGAAAGAGCAGCGGGGTGGAGATGGGGCAGAGAGAAAGGAAGGACACCGAGACAAGAGTCTGATCAAGGGGATGTTTATTGCCGGCAAGCATCAGCCTTTTAAAGCAAAAAAACCACAAACTATTATGGGATGGGGTTACCACAGTAAATGAAAGTTCACACAGGAAAGAGCAAACAGGCTCAACAAAAACAACCACCATGGGTAGTAGTAACCCAGACAACCACACGTCTGAAGGTCAGAGACAAGAAACTGCAACTTTCAGGAATTCCACAAAGGAAACACACCACCTTTTAAACTGGAGAAACTTAACAAATATGGAGTTACTAAAGTTAACAATACTTACAACTAATACTCATGATTCCCACACAGCCCAATGCCTATTCATGTAAATAAAGATTTATTAAAACACAGTCGTGCCCATTTTTTAAAACATAGTGCCTTCTATAGTGTGGACAGAGTTAAGTTCACTACCCCAAGGACTCGCACGTCAGAAGTATGGTCCTTAGCATGATAACGTGAGAAATGGTGCACACCTGAAGAGACAGATATCCTCACGGGATATCTCTAGTCCCTGGGGACACTGCCCTCAGAAGGGATTAAGGTAGCTCTTGTGTTTAGTTCTTAAGAGGGTGACTTGTTATGAGAATGAGCCTGACCCTTGCATCACTCTCTGGCTCTTGTGGTGGGATGTGCTCTCTTGTTCCTACATGTTCTTCCCATGATGTCATCTACCCCCAGGCCCTCAGTAGAGGCCAAAAGGATAGAACTACCCAAACTTGAGCTTTCAGCTGTCAAACTCATGAGCTAAGCAAACCTTTCTTAAGTTGCTTGCCCCTGGCACTTCATTATAGTAACAAAAGATAGACTAATGCAGTGCCCACAGTGACTCTGGCTCTATAACAGAAGAGTGGAGCAGTTTTGAAAGAGAAGAGATATAAAGGCTCCAGAAGCCTAAAATATTTACTAACTGGCCCATTACAGAAAATGCTAACTGGCCTTGGCTTAGCAGATTGATTAAAGTTCTGCAGAATAAGACAGAGTAAAGGAGAGCAGGTTAGGGAAAAACTTTTCCCATCTTACATGTTTGACTCAGTCTGGATTTTGATCCTTAGAATTTATGAGATTTTGTCCATAAAAGTGCAATGCCTTTCATTTTCTGAGCTGTGAGTCAAAGAGCATATCAAGTACTACTTTCTCTCATTTATTGTCAGTTCATAGAAAATGTAGTTCTTAATGCACTACTATAACACAGAACTTATCTGGGTAAGATTGAGAGTCAAACTTGCATAATATCTAAATATCCTCTATAAATCTTTCAGATCAGTTTTCTTTGGAAGAAAAGAATTGTCTGGGGTCAAAAGTAAAATTAATTTGATTCTTTAAAAATTTAAATTTATTCCATCACCTAAACAGTATATCTAGATTTGGCAATATGCCTCCATATCTCAGCCCACAGAGATAAAATAAAAATGATTTATACCATTAAGATTCAGGCACCTGCAGAGCTACCACTTCAGTAAATACAAAAAATGCACACCTCCTGCAGCTGAGTTGTTATGTGAATTTAAGAAATAAAGCCCTGCCCTCTTCCAGAAGTCACTTCCTTTCTCTCATCTGAATAAGACCAGCCCAGTCACAGGATTATTCTTGTACTTGCCTGGAGAATATGATATAAAACCTTGAGAAGAAATCTTTCCTTGACTCAGGATCACCCTCCCACCACCCCCAAGCTGATCTCCTAAATTTTATTCCTACTGGGTCTTGATGATTTGTGCTGGAAGAGCCAGAGAGGACAAGGGCTCAGCCACCCGACTAGAATCCCCCTAAGACTGTCCTCTGACAGTCCACTGTGAGGGCAGGCAGTTCTTTGCACTGGGAAGAAAGAAGTCTGCCTGTGCTGTTCACCACTGGGCCTAGTTTTATCTCTTAGCTCGGTGATGTTGAACAGGTCTATCCCTTTCCTAAAGGACACACCCGCCTGTGAGAAGAGAAGGAATTTCTCCAGGCCTCCCTGAATCCACTCTTTACTGATTCCAGTATGTACCATTTTGGTGAGCTGCCTTTTGGAGAGATGAGTCCAGACCCATATGTGAAAGCTCTGGAGAATTCTGATCCCTAGGCAGTCAGACTGGGATCTATGTATGTCTCCTTCATTCTTGATATTCATTGTTCAATCTTCATGCAGCCAAAAATCACACTGGCTTTCTAAGAAGTTACAATGTATCATTAATTCTTTTTACACTTCAAATAGCCCAACTAAATATGTCATTAGGGTAAGAAGCAAATCTTTTAAAATGCAAATGTCTCTGGAAAAGCTCAAGTATCAACACTAAAGAGAACCTTGGTGTGAACTGATATTTCTGGAGTGCTTCCTTGGTGAGCAGTAAGATAACTGGATATCAAAACCACATTCAATGGGGAAAAGGAGGTAGATTTTGTGAGAACCAGAAGGCCAGGTCTATTGGGCCTCCACACAGTACAGAAAGAAGGGGAGGGGAGGAAGGGCACAGTAACAAGGAGATAGGATGATATCAAGAGTTCAACTGGTCTGTCATTTTCAAAACAGAATTGCCTGAATCAATAAACCTGCTCCTTTCCCTTTTCCTTCCAGGGACTTCTTTAAGGGCAGAAATCCAGCCACTAGTCCGCCTTTCCAAATGCACTGCTCCCATTGCTGAGTTTGGCAAGTTCAAGTCCTGCACTCTCTTCTGGCAGGGCATTAAAAATGATGTTTACTTTTCCTCTAATCAATGTAGTCATAAACAGCAGCATGACTCTTCAGACAAAGAATTAATCATGACGGGGGTGGCAGTTGGAGGACAAACCAGAGAGGCCACTGGGATAACAGTTGTTGCATGACTGATTCACACAGCGTTGTAGAGCTAGAAAGACACTAGAAAAACTGTCCTGCTGACTTCACACTGAGCCCGGGAAGGAGAGGTTCAGGAGTGGGTGGCTTTGCTAAGATCTGCTCTAGCAAACAATCAGAAGAGGAAGGGAAGGAAACTGCTGAGTATCCCTCATACAAAATGTTTGTGACCAAAAACATTTCAAATTTCAGTTTTCCACATTTTGGGATATTAGCATAGACTTTAACAAATTAAACATCCCTAACCCAAACATCTGAAACAGTCTGAAATAAAACATTTTCCTTTTTTCAATATATAGTATGCATTAATTTTATAAAATATCAGGTTTCATTATGGCATTTTCATATACACATATAACATACATTGATCATATCCATGCCCCCATCACATTCCTTACACCCACCACCTCCCTTTTATTCTTTGCCTCCTGCCTAATAGTCTACCTTTTTTTTAAGACTCCATATATTACCAAAGACATGTGAAACTTGTCTTTCTGGCTTATGAAATAAAAACTTTTTGAGTGCAGAAATGATGCTCAAAACTGTTGGAATTTGAAGCATCTCAAATTTCATACTTTTAGATTAAGGATGCTCATTCTATGTATTGAGCACCTCTAGGCACAGGCTGGCTGCTTTCTTTTCATGCAGTTAACACTAACCTTTGGACCATGCATCGCAATGCCCATTTTTCAGGGCAGCTCCCAGAGAGTAAACCGTCAAACCTGGCCCAACCTCCCACAGATGCTGAGTGTATGGGTTACATTTGAATAACCACAAAGCTTATAACATCTTCACTTTCTTACACTGCTCCCGGAAGCCAGGAAAATTGCATCTGCAGCCATTTTTGTTGTTGTTGTTGTTGTTGTTGTTCCATTTGATTTTTGGCTCTTCAAGCCTTAAATCACATACTGAAAACCACCCTCACAATTGTGTGATCCCATGACTGTGAGAAATAAAGAGGTGAAAGAGTGTTAGAAAAAGCGCCAGTTCGGTGATAAGTCTGTGAGGCAGAATCACAGTTATAGAGCCTGCAAATTACAGTTCACATCTGCAAGTCAAAAATCACTGCGGGGTGAGGAGGAGGAGGTGGGAGAGCTGCATATCATGTCCATGTTCAGGAGAAGGTTCTTTCTGTGGGAAGAATCAATAACATTACCTAATGCTTCCCAAGCAATGATGTCAAATAAACCCACACAAAGACTGCAGGCTCACAAACAAATGCGTCACTGTTACTGTGTTTCCCAATGTGCATGTCATTTACTGCAGGAATATTGAACACAGACCACTCTGACACGTTTGCTTCACAAGAGGAAGCCTGCAATGAGGGTAATGAAGGTAGAGAAATACAAAGAGCTAGAGTGTCCTGAGTTTGGAGAAGCTCCAGGATCAATTAACTGGGAGATGCTTTCACTCCCCGAGGAAAACCTGGCCAGCTGCCCCCTCTACACAACCTAGAGAAGCTGCAGATTAATTAGTAACTATGAGGTAGGAACCGGTGGGTTCCAAACACTCAGACCCACAAGAGAAGAGAAAAGAATTTTAGTAAATTATTTACTAAATTTTAGTAAATTATTAAGTCTACAGTAATAATAATGACTTAATAATCTCTAGGACAAAATTAAACTCCTGTGGTTCTTTCCTACTGAAAATTACTGAAGATCTTAGTATGCTCACACTTTGATAAACTCCTTATCTCACTTGACAATAGATAAAGAAAAAAGCTGAACTTCACAGTTGGCCATAAAAAGAATGCAAGCATCTCTATGGAGCTGTCACAAGGCAAAGTGACCAGGGATGAGGGACAGTGCCACAGGCCACCCAGCTAAGAGTACACAGGGGCAGCAAATGGCTTAGTCATCTGAAAGGTGTCTAAGTTAGCTCAGGCTTCAGTAACAAAACACCACAGGCAGGAGGCTTAAACAACAGACACTTGTGGAGGTTGGAAGGCTCAGATCAATGTCCAGCAGGACTTGGTGTCTTATCAGGGTTATGTTTCCAGCTTGTACACAGCTGCCCTCCTACTCTGTGGTCACAGGGCCTTTCCTCTGCCCCCTGCTGAGACTGAAAGAGCGAGCATACAGAGCGAGCATAAGCTCTTTGGTGTTTTCTTCTAGGGCCTCATCCCTAGACCTCACTTAACCTACTTCCTCAGAAGAGGCCCCATCTTCATACACAGATAGACATGCAAGGGTGCAGGGCTTCAGCATCTGAATTCTGAGCAGACACAAATGTGTAGTCCACAATAGAAGGAATTGGCCTCAGATTCCTGGTTGGAGCCGGGAGGGGCTTGGAGATGGGAGAAATCAGTATTTTCCTACTGATAAAAAGAGACTGAGCAACAAAGCTATGAACTCCTGTCTGAGATAAAGCTAGAGCTACCAAAATAGGAACTAATTCACCTTTCTATATCATTCCCAATACCTCCACAGAATGAGACTCCAGAATACCATCTGGCTTGACTCTGAAAGGTCAGAGGCAGGCAGCAGTAAAATTATAAAATTTAGATAAAGAAAAAGTAAACATCAATCCTCTCTAAGATGCTCTTATAGGCATCTGTAATGAAGTTGTCATTTTTATCCCAACTACTCCTTCTAACCATGTTGAGAGGGTTGCTTAGCAGATTGATTTTTTTCTTAGTCAATTTTCCTTTAAGGAAGAATTAAATTGCATAACTTAAATTTTGATCTGTCATTTTTTTACTATAATTCGGTTTTAAATATTTTTTACATTTTCATTGTTATTTTTTTCTTTCATATATGCATGATTTATGAACATACTCTTGACTTCCAAACATAAGGATTTTGAATCCTTTTCTGTTGTCACTAATTTTTTTGGTTAAATTATGATGGGTTTGAAAACATACTTTGTAAAATCTCAATCCTGTTAAATGCAATGAGATTTATTTCAAGGACTAAAACATAGTTTTAACAAACAAGAACTTTTGTGTTTGAAAACTGAAAATGTACTCTTAAATAATTCATTTGTTAAAAATAATAATCAGTGAAATAAAATTTTATGGACCTGTACTGCAATAGAAATATTGCATATTAAAACCACTGGGTGACATACAGGCTGCATTTAACAATATAGAGCTTTACATAAATACATCAATAGCATTACAAGAAAAAATTTAGGGGGCTGCGGATTTAGCTCAGCAGTTCGGTACCAAAAAAAAAAAAATTAAACTCAAAGAACTAGAAAAGAAATAAAAGTACCTTTTTAAAAGTAGCTGAAAGTAAACAAAGAGCAGAAAATAATGAAATAGAAAACAAAGAGACAAAAGGGAAGATAAAAATATTCAAGAATTAGTTCATTAAAACTAGAAAATTCTCTAGAATGATTAAGAAAAATAGAAATGACACAAATAATACCAGGAGAAAAGGGCCATGTCCCTAAGGCTACAAAAACTTTTAAAAGCCATAAGAAGAATCGATGGAATATATGATATAAACAAATCTGAAAGCTGACACAAAATAAACAGTTTTTAAAGAAAAGGAATAACAAAATTGACTCAAGAATGAAAAGAAAGTCTGGCAAAACCATTAGTGTTATGGTCTAGGTCTAAAATGTCCCCCACAATTCTCACATTCAGAGGTGGGGACTGATTGGAAGGGAGGTCACTGACGTGTGACTTGGGCATATATGTTCACGCCCCTGGCTCCTCCCTTTTTTCTCTGCTTCCTGGTCGTCATGCAGTAAACAGCTTTCTCCTGTCTGGCCATTCTCCCACCATACCAATTCCGCCATGCTGTTTCTGTGTTGGAACCAGACAACTGTGCGTTGAACCCACTGAAACTGTGAGCCAAAATAAACCTCGACGCCATTAAGTTGCAGGTGTTACATATTTTGTCTTAGCAATGTGAATTTGTGTAATCAAATTGTTATTAGATAAACTGAATTCACAATCTAAATCTATCCATATTCCTCAATCCCTAGAAGAAAAAAAGACCTAAGGCTCATATAAACAAGTCTGCCCTCCTTGAAGAAATAAAGTAAATCTTATAAAAACTATATCAGATAATAGAAAAAGTATATGCACATATTATCTTGAGCCAAAATAGCTCATAAATTAGAATTAAAAACTGTTGTTATTTATAAGTACAAGTAAAAAACTCCTAAGCAAAATACAAGGAAAATGGAAATTTATAAATGTCTATATTAAATGAAAAAAGATCATGATCAAATCTAAGTCATCAGTTTATTCCTACTAATCCAAGAATGGTACAATACCAGAAAACAAGTTAATACAAGAAATTATATTTAACACTGAATGCTAACAAATAAAATAATCAAAAAACATATTACTTAGCACCCATTCATGAAAAAATAAAACCCTTTACAAATTGGGAATAGAACTTTTAGTCTAACACTGCGTACATACCATAAATGTGCTCATCTTCTAGGGCTGTTGCAACAAATGATCATAAAGAACACAGATTTATCATCTCATAGTTCTGTTCCAAATCAAGATGTCAGCATGGCCAATGATCTCTCTGGAAGAACTAGAGAAGGAGCTTTTCCTGACCCTTCCAAGCAATCTTAAGCATTCTTTTGTTTATAGAAGCATCACTCCAATTTGACTCCATAGTACAGGGCATTCTCCCATGTCTGTGTATGTTTATCTAAATTTCCCTCTTAGAAGGACAAAGGCCATTGGATTAGAGACCACTTAATCCAGTATGACCGGATGAAAGGTTGATTACATCTACTAAAACCATATTTTCAAAGAAGGTCACATTTGCAGGCATCAGGAATTAAGACTTCAACTTATCTTTCAGAGGAATACAATTCAACCCACAGCAAAAATAAAAAGTCTGTAACAAATACATTCAGAAGTAATCCATTGCAAATATTTCCATTAAAGTCAGGCATAGCACAATAGTTTCATTATCATTTCTGTTCATCACTGCTGTCTTAGGTTCTAATATAATAAGGCATCCTTATAAAGCATTCTTTTTTTTTTGGTACATTTAAGGCATACAATATAGTGGCATTTATTGTTGGAAATTTGTACCTTTACATAATCAGTCTTGGGGTTTTTTTTCCATCCCCCTGCTCTCCATTCAACCTCTCCCTCCCTCCCTCCCTATCTACAAATACTTTGTTTATATTATTTTTCATTTTCTCATATTTATTCCTTTATCTTCTTTCCATTTCCCCTTTCCCTTTGTCCATTTTCTTCCTGTTTCACACTATCTCATATACCGTTTAGTCCTAATTTAAACTTTCAGTTTCTCACACTAGTGAAACTTTGGTATTTACATGTGTGTCCTATTTATTTCACTTAAAAGTACCACCTCAATGTGCATCCATTTAGCTATAAATGTCTCTAATTTCTCATTTTTTATGACCAAATAATACTCCTTTTTTTAACCCCTCATTTTCTTTATCCAGTCTGCCATTAATGGGCAATTGGGCTGCTTCCCAGTTTTAGTTATTACAAATTGTTCTGCTATGAACATGGGTACACATATATCACTGTGGTATGATTCTTTTAATTCTTTAGGGAAGATACCCAACAGAGCAATAGCTGGGTCAAATGGAACTTCCAATCCTAGTTCTTTGAGGTATCTCCATACTGATTCTTATGTTGCACCAGTCTACAATCCCACCAGCAGTGGAGCAGTGTTCTCTTTCCCCAAAGCCCCACTAGCATTTGTTATTGGTTGATTTCATGATAGCAGCCATTCTTTCTGGGGTGAGGTGAGATCTTACTGTTGTTTTCAACTGCAGCTCTCCAATAACCAGTGATGTTGAACATTTTTTCATATGTTTATTTGCTATTTCTACTTCGTCTGAGAAATGTCTGTTCATTTCAGATGCCCATTTCTGAATTGGGTCTTTTAAATTTGAGAGGTCTAATTTTTTCAAGTTCTTTATATATTCTAGATAGCAGACCTTTGTCTGAGGAACAGCTGGTGAAAATTTTTTTTCACACTGTTGGTGCCTTCTCTTGCTATGCAGAAACTTTCAGTAAGAAGACATCCCATTTGTTGATTGTGCTAGTTCACGGGCAACTGGGGTTTTGTTCATAAAATCTTTTCCTCCACCAATGTCTTCAAGAGTTCTACCTAACCTTATAAAACATTCTGAAGAGAGACAAAGGAAAAACCGCTGCCAATGAAGAGAAA